CGTAATTTGTTACTTTTTTATGGAGTAATGCAATATTGTAATGCATTACTTTTAAAAGTAACTTTCCCCAACACTGGTTATATATCTTTGCAGTGTTGTAATATTTGTATTCAAAGGTGCTGCGGGTCTTCAAAGATCTGCATAAGACACGAAGACATGTTTTTAGAGATGATGACCGAGCTCTGACAGGTATCAATAAACCTACACCATACGCTATCAAAAATTGTCTACATACTTGAATTACATATTTAAATTCTTTACGTATCAGTTCACAACATTTTTTTTATTTATTTTATTATTATTACTTTTTGTAATAATACTTTATTTTAGTGTTGATGCTTTTGTTTGGACTGTTACTTTTCAGCAAAATAATTTCTGTCCTGTGTTTGTATGTTTTTTTTTTTTAATCTTTGCGTTCTGAAAAAAAAAATGGAAGAATTTATTATTATTATTATTATTATTGCTGTTGTTACTATTTCTTAGTTAAAGTCTCATACACGTTTTTACTCCTCTGGACATGAAGCTGCCAGGTTAAAAATAAATGAAGAATTCCAAAAAAACAAGAATGAAACATCAGAGGAGAATATCAAAGAGGCAAGTCACGTGACGGCACAGCTGAATCTCGTGATATGATTAAACTAGATATTAAGATGTCATTTCTGTCTGCTCTTGGAGGCTTCTAGGCAAGAATATCTATTAAACTCATTCTTTCAGATGCTCAAAGTGGGCCGAGCGGTGGAGACCATCCTTCGTGAAAATGTGATGCAGGGAGAGCATGTGGAGCAAAACAAAATCTGTAAGTGATCTGTGTGAAATTATGTGTGTATCTCAAAAACATGATCACATGCCATCACAAAACCAAAAGAAGAAGAGAAAAGAAAAGGGAAAATAAGCATATTTTTAGCCAATAAGAGTTTTCTATTTATTTATTAAATAGTGACACACTTTAAGCATAATTTTGTTTGTAACCTTGTTTGTTACTGTAGTACAGTACTTCGACGTGTTGATAATACACTTCATTGTGTGCTTCATTTAAAGAACACATTGACGTGTTGTGTTCCCTTTAATATATATTTTCTTTAAAAGGCCTTAAATTTACCTTCATAAAACCTGTAGAAACCCTGCATCCATTTTCTCACACTGGCATAATAAGAACAAAGTATTTCTTTTTATTTGAGCTTGATATAAGACTAAACATCTTGAGCTCCCCCAGGCTAATGAGTGTAGTTTGTATTGTGTTTTGTAGTGTTACGGCCCGCCAGAGTCTCCTGCTGGACCACCCAGAAACAAGACGTGACCCTGATTCACTGATTCTCATTTGCACTGTAATATCACACAGTGGCCATAACTTTAATAACTTGTACAGTATGTTGGTTCAACGCTGATGTTATTGTGTTCAATTAAATGCAATCAAATGCCACAATGTAAATAGTATTTGTTTGGCTATGTTGAATAAATTATAAAAACATGTCTATTTCAGTTCGTTTCTTTTTTTTTTTTTTTTTTTTTTTTGGGGTAGGTCACTTGGTATCACTGTTGAGATTTTGAATTCATCTGAATGGTAACAGATTTCCGTAGCTCGATCAGTTTATGGTGCTAACAACAGCAAAACCAGAACGCTTGGGCTGATATTTGATTACATTTAATTACGAACAGCCGCATATCAAGTTTCATCGTGCCTGTTCAACTGTAATGATGCACCTCAAATTATATCATTTTTGTTTTTAACCCAAATTCACGATGTTGTAATGCTATTGTGTCCAGTTCTGTAAAGGCATTTAAAGAGCCTATAACTTAAAGCTGCAGTCTGTAACTTTTGGCGCTCTAGCGGTTAATAAACAGAACTGCGTGCGTCTGGCGGAAGAACATTGTAGCCGGAGCTACTTCTCTCTGTTTATGTCTATGGCGAATCACGCAGGTACTGGGCTCCTCCGCAGCGGTACCTACCCGAACCAGTCTAAAATAGTCCGAATATAAACACTTATTATAGGTGTACCATAGTGATTCAGGACCAGCCAAAAACACGGTTTGGAAAATGGATTCATGGTGTACTCGCTTATAATATACATTTTGTTAATTTTGAACACAAAAAAGTTACGGACTGCAGCTTTAAAGAATAATAACAAAAATTTTCAAAAGATATTCTCATCTAAAAATCATCTAATCTTAACACATCTAATAGTTCTCTCCCATTTGTGCCACTAAGGCTTTAAAAATGTGGAATGTGCCAAATGTCTAAAAACAGTTTATACATTGTATGTATGTATGTATATATGTATGTGTGTGTGTATGTGTGTGTGTGTGTGTATATATATATATATGTATGTGTGTGTGTGTGTGTGTATATATGTGTGTGTGTGTGTGTGTGTGTGTGTGTGTGTATGTGTGTGTGTGTGTGTGTGTGTATATATATATGTATATATATATATATATACACACACAAACTTTTAAGTAAAACCAAATAAAGTGGTTATACATGTTGAATACTCTTTAAATAAGTAGACTCTGTTGCTGGTGAACATGAAATAGTGATATTAATTGACACTTGTTTTCATATACATTAAATAAAAAGGAAAATGATGAAATAGCCACTGTAGCATAATCAAGGTACAGTCATTAAAATGAGTTTTAGCTTTCACAGTCATTATATGATGCATAAATCACATTTTCCACATAATTCAGCAACTGCAACTGAATTCTGTTAATTCGTATAAAACATGCTTCATTATAATTTACTGTCTTGAGGAATAGGAACTAATAGTTTAGATTACTAGTTTTTTGATCACAGTAAAGCACTTGTAAGATGCATTCACACAAACAGAGTCATAATCATTAAAAACCAAAAGGAATGTAAATTGTCAATTCTTTGTCTCTATCAGAAGATGAGCTTCTGCGGTTTTTCCCAGGGAAATTCAAATTGCACATAATGGCACAATTTATTTATTTATAGTAGGGTACAACGGGGATAAAGACACACCTTAAGAAAAAATGTGCTATTCACTTGCGCCTAAAATGTATAATTGCAGAAAAAATATATTGAACATTAATGGAGCAACAGATTTTGTGTGAAAATAAATCGTTCAAGTTGTTTATTTTGTTTAAAAATCTTTTAAATGTATGAGGTGGCAACACACACGTGGTAAAAGGCACACAGTATCAGCTAAAATAATGTTTTTTTTAATAATGTCTAAGTTAATACTTGTTCAAAACAATCACTTTAGCAAAGTTTGTACTATTTTATATTTGGTCCTTTGCTGGTTTATGCTGGTCCTTTGCTGGTTTAAGCTGGTCATGTGCTGGCAAAGGACCAGCATAACCCAGCAAAGGACCAGCATAACCCAGCAAAGGACCAGCATAACCCAGCAAAGGACCAGCATAACCCAGCAAAGGACCAGCATAACCCAGCAAAGGACCAGCATAACCCAGCAAAGGACCAGCATAACCCAGCAAAGGACCAGCATAACCCAGCAAAGGACCAGCATAACCCAGCAAAGGACCAGCATAACCCAGCAAAGGACCAGCATAACCCAGCAAAGGACCAGCATAACCCAGCAAAGGACCAGCATAACCCAGCAAAGGACCAGCATAACCCAGCAAAGGACCAGCATAACCCAGCAAAGGACCAGCATAACCCAGCAAAGGACCAGCATAACCCAGCAAAGGACCAGCATAACCCAGCAAAGGACCAGCATAACCCAGCAAAGGACCAGCAAAGGACCAGCTTAAACCAGCATCCCAGCGTCAAAACATACCTAACCAGCATATGCTGGTTTTTTCAACAGTCTAAACAGTATGAAGAACTTTAGTGGGCGTGGCTAAAGAGTTAGAATTTACTTTAACCAATCACAAGCGACTCTTTTGTCAGGCAGAGACATAAATAGAGATGAGAGATAGTAATTCGAAACCCACTTCCGTGACGGCTACACGTCACTGGGTAACACATTTGCATAATGTGCGCCAATGTTCTACCAAAGTCCTTTTTTTTAGGGTATTGTAGTCTTTGGTTCTACGTTGGCCGGCCGCGAACAACTTGACCCCGCCCACAAATGTCATTTTACTGACAACTGCTTCACTAATCTCAGGGAGTTCAAGGGATTCACAAAACACTTGCTGTTGAAAGATTGATCAGTATCCTGTTTATTTGCTCCACTGAATCACAACCTGTACGTATGATAAATAATAGATGTTTATATTTTCTATAGAGCTTTCTAAAATACAGAACTACTGAAATAGGCATATAGTTTCCGAAGCGCGTTGTACGCAGGAGACCAATCACAACAGACTAGGCCATCTGACCAATCAGAGCAGAGCAGGCTCACGGAAAGGAGGGGTTTAGAGAGACTGAATCTTTGAACTGCTTCGAACGAATCGTTCGAGAATCGCTGGAAAATGAGGTTATATTAAATGCATATTTTGAGAAAAATAAAAAAGAAAGCGTTTTTTGACCTTGCCTGCATGTAATCCTATTGTAGGAGATTCCCAAAACAATATTAGGAACCGTAAAAATGGCATAATAGGGGCACTTTAAAGCATAAACCACTGTCCTGTTAAAGCGTCCTCATGCCAAAGAGTGAATTAAAAACTTTATCTGACGGATTTTCTAAAGGGGAACTTCGCGCTGCAGTTCTTAAAGTGGCCGCTAGAGGCAGCACAACTGAGATTGACTCGAAAGTAAGCCCTGATATTACCTCTAACTAGTCAGGTAAAATGCTTAATGTTTGTCAATAACTATTTGTCCGATTTTAACCTTTCTCAGTGTGCACAGGAATGGTAGCGCAAAAGTGTTTTGTCTGTTACTTTTCTCAGCGCTGCGCAGATTAGACCAATCACAATCGTACTTGATTACAGGAAATGGACTTGTTTTGGCATTTTATGACGATTGCTGGAACGTATTTCTCTTTGTATATCATGCAACTATCATTGGAATAAAGAAATGTAAAGGGTAATATCAGTTTTTAGTCAATAAAATGGGATTTATCTCAATTTATCTCAAATAAGACAGATAAATCCCTGATGATACGAGCGCGTTTTAATGACAGATTCGGCTTTGTGAGCCTCTAAGCGCCCCTTGGAGGAAGACTCTGTCACATAAAGGGAAAACATTGCAATAAAGCCCATCCCAATGTATAAGCACTGCCATAAACGCATAAAAAGCGCCTGCGTGGCACCAGAAAAACAGGACAGAAGCGCTGTTTGTACAGTAAAAGCCAGATTCCCACTGAGCCTCGTTCATGTCTAATGATAACTTCAGGCCCTGTGTAGACAGACATACACATGACTAACAGCATTTGTATATAACATCATATTAATAATGATATTTGTCCAATAAATCCGTTTAGGGTTGTACTTTGGCCATTAATTGTAAAACTAAATGATTAGGCTACTGTGTAATGCAACTGTAATGCTATAATGCAAATTTAGATTCATTAAGCAATCAAATATATTTCTATCCAATTATTCAACAAGGAAACATTAAATTTATTGAAAGTGACAGTAATCAGCATATTTGAATGATTTCTGAAGGATCGTGAAGACTGGAGTAATGATGCTGAAAATTCAGCTTTGAACACAGGAATTACATTTGAACATATAAAACGAGTCTTGGTGAGCATATAAAGCTTTCAAAGTGATTAAAAAATCTGACTGACCCCCATTACCCCACATTATTATAACAAACTCGTATAAAATCATATTTGACAACTGATTTTTCACAGAACACAGTCACTTACACCAAAACATAGAGTAAACGACCTAAAGAGTTTTAAGTTAGTGAACAACATTATTACTTGTTTAATATTTAACAATGAAGTCAAGTCATCTGCTATAAGGTTAAAGTCCTGTGAAATGATTATAAATCTATAAACAGCTGTTAATATAACCAACTGTGGTTCCTTGAATTGTATATAGCAAGGCATAACTGGTATGAAGGGAATACTCAAGCAGTAATACTGATAAAGTATTTTCATCCAGTGTTCTCCAGAAAGTCATCAGATGATGCTATTCTGAATTTATAATCATTATATCATTTCATTATATCATTTATAATAATTTTCAGATGCCCCTGTAAAGAGAAAAGCAGGTGTGATATGTATTTCCCAGCCCTATAGCGTGTAACAGCACCAGAACAGAAAGACTCAGCAGCTCTTATAGTGTACACT